GGGCTCAGATCCTTGTGGTGATGGCTGGGTAGGAATTGGGTGCACGGATTCACGTGTCACCTCCATGTAAGTTCTTGGTTAATTTCCACCTCTTGGATAGACGCTTATTCTTTCTCTTCAAGCTTCTGAGGATTGACCTGTCTCTCATCTGTTGCAGAACATTGGGAAACTTGGGCTTGGAAGGGCAGGTCTTTGGTGACATTCCATCCTTAACTGAATTACAGACTTTGTAGGTCCTCTATCTGAAGTTCACATGGGAAAACTAACTTGTTCATTCTCCTCCATTTAAGACAATATTCCTTTATGTGATTATGCTGCTCAGATTTCTAAAGTTTCATTTAAATCTAAGGCTTAAGTGAAACATATTTTCTTTAAGCATTATATACAAAAAGTTTAGTGGTGATTATAATAGAGAACCCAAAGAACATGATAGTCTGCTGTTTTGTCAGCTAAATATGCCTCCCTACCTTTTCCATTACTTGGTGAGGGATGTTATAATATAGGTATTGATATATCTCTGATCAAGCTTCTTTATGCAGGGATCTATCTTACAACAAGCTCCTGACAGGATCTCTTCCAGAATCAATTGGGAATTTAAAGAAGCTAATACATTTGTAAGTCAATAAGTCTAATTAATCTTTTTTTTTTAAATTTTTTTTCTTTTTTCGGTCTTCTCTTTATGGAAAATGTATTGTTTACCACTCTCTTCAAACCTGCTTTCGTGCTCTTGTGACAGAAACCTTGTTGGCTGTGGTTTCACTGGTCCAATTCCTGACACAATAGGAAATCTACAACACCTGGCCATTTTGTGAGGACTTTTACTCTAATATCAACTATGATATAATGGTTAAACTTACAATTTGAAATTGGTTGTGTGGTGATCTTCCATTGTTTAATGAAACTTGATGGACAAATTTGTACTGGTTCACTAAGTAATCACAGTTCAGCTCTGCTGTGAATTGTCTTGATACTTCAATACTTTTGCAAATTTTAGTCAGAGCAGTTCCATGCTAGCCAACATCTCTGAAACCCATCATTGCCTGCAGATCTCTAAATTCCAATTACTTTGAAGGACAAATTCCACCATCCATTGGTAATCTATCAAAACTATATTGGCTGGATCTGGCTGACAACCAGCTGGAGGGATCAATTCCTGTGTCAAATGGAATTACATCTGGCCTTGACAAGTTGGTCCATACCAAGCATTTGTATGTTACTTGTCTTCCTTATTTTAACTTGTTTTATTATTTTCTGTTTCCTTTTTAATAATATCATCTAAAGTTTTCTCCTTTATCCACAGTCATTTGGGAAAGAATAAACTTTCAGGCAAAATCCCGGAGCAAATTTTCAGCTCAGACATGGTTCTGGTACATGTGTGAGTTTCACTTTTGTTTTCTTTAATTATATTTTGACTGCATAAGTTACCAGAAAATAAATAAGCAGAGGGCTTAAACTTGGGAATTTTCTGCAACAAACAAATATTGCCTTCTGAATAACAGTGCCAGAAGCGGCTAGTATTAGCAGCTTGTTTCTAGTTCTTTATCTCTTTGAATATGTTTGGTTTGAACAAAATGAAGGGGAGGGAAGGGGAAGGGAAGGATGAGTTTTTTAACAACTCAAATTATATTGTTTTCAAATATCACAATCGGATTGGTTAAAAAATTCATGCCTCCCCTCCATTTCCCTCAAATGTTATTCTTTTGTTTAGTGGAGTAGCAAATCTTCCCTTTTCTTCTTTCTCCTTCCTTTTCAGTTTTCATCAAATCACAGGCTGGATTATCGTATGTTTGAAAGATTTCATTTCTCCTCTTTCTGTCAGGTTATTTGACAGCAACAAGCTCACTGGTCCTATCCCTTCAACCCTTGGGCTTGTGCAATCTTTACAGGTGATGTGAGTATCTAGAACACATGCTTAAGCAGATTTGAAATGAGGTTATTGTTGGAATTGGATTTCTTTGTGGGTGTGACTGAAGAAGTTATTGTTTTGGCTGCAGACGTTTTGATAACAATTCCTTAAGTGGGAGTGTTCCGTCAAACCTCAGCAATCTCACAAGTCTTCAAGAACTGTAGGATGCAAAAGATGGAAGATGAGCAGTCTTTGCATTTATTAGTTTATCTTCTCTAATAGAAAATGTTTTGTGAACTTCTTTTCAGGTATTTGTCCAACAATAAGCTCAATGGCTCTTTACCCTCCCTTACTGGCATGAGCAAGCTCAACACCTTGTAAGCAGTGCATGCCTTCTACATAACCAAACTACCCTTTTTCTTTGTCTTTTTCTCCACTTCCTATGAGTCTGTAATGCGTGCACTTTATGTCTTCGGTTGAAATTGTTATTCACCAGGCCTCCTTCAATAACCATATACGGTTGTCATTAATTTTTATTCTAATAATATAATTGTGTTCTGCAGGGACTTGAGTAATAATAGCTTCAATACCTCTGCGATTCCTAGATGGGTTTCATCTTTGTCATCCTTAACAACACTGTATGTCCATCTCTCTCTTTTAACATTGTATGAACTATTTTAAATGCAGAACCCAATTACTCTCTTTTAGTCTTTTACCATCACACTTCATTGAGGGCCATATGTTTTGTTAAACTATTAGCAAGAATATCTTTCCATCCCCAATGATATTGTTAGCAGCAATATGATGTTTAAAACTTAATCAGGCTCATAAATGTTACAATAAATCCATCCCTGAATGTGTTTCTCCCCCTCCTACTTTCCTTCCCTCTCTTCCTCGCCTTCTCACTTTGTTTTCTGCATGTTCATGGACACATGCCCATATGCTTGTATACATACACATTCACGGGTTTCCCTTCAAGTTAAGAGAACAATTGATTTTTTTGCAAGGCAGAAGGATGGAAAATGCTCAACTTCAAGGTGAAGTTCCGGTTTACCTTTTCAGCCTTCCAAATTTGCAGACTGTGTGAGTATCACCTTCACTTCATGCACTACCATTCCTTATCCTGGATGTTCACAACTCTGGTGAAACATATCTTGTCAATCCAAACCATGGAGATGATAGCTGGAGGCTAATTATTTCCATCTTTGTCACATTGTACAGGGGGCTCAAACACAACAGGTTAACTGGCACCTTGTCTATAGGCATGGAATTTAGCAACCAACTGAGCCTAGTAGATTTGCAGAACAATGAGATTACTGACTTTGATGGAACAGGAGGAAAAAACATTCAGATAAGGTGAGAGAATCA